AGTGGTGCAGAAGAGGGAGGTGTCAGGGGCTATGTACGGGTTTGGTGTGGCTCACCAAAGCAAAAGCAAAGATTCAATGCAGCAAATGAATACATCCAGGCCTCAAGAGTAGACGGAATCGAACAAATGTTCACTTCTAAGCATCCTGACATATTTAGTACACTCTTATCAGAAGGGAAAAATCCTACAAACTAGCTGAAATCTTGTCTTGTTCTTGCCATATGCATCTCTACTACGCAATATGTAAATATGCAAAATTGTATGTGTATATTGCCATTGTTCGGACATCCTACAATCTGTCATAAGGGGAAACAACATATGATGATGGCTGTAAAGTGCTGTACAAATATCATAAGTGCATCAAGTCCATGTTTCCTGCCTTGGAGCCTGTGAAATTTAAGAGGACATTTTCTTTTTTATTGAATAGTCGCTCAGCTTCTATAATTCTCAGCTGTTTATGGAACCGTAAAGCAAAGACTACCAAGGACAATAACCCCAGGAGACTAAGCACAACTACTACCCCACTTTAAAAACTAAGCCACAGAAAATATGGTAAAATAACATTATAGAGCTGTTTTAAACCCACAAAAAGCAAGGGAATTCCAAGCCAAGCCTGGATATCCAGCTTGACATTCCCTCTTTTAACTCCAGGGCTAGTAAAGAGGGCAAGTGGGGCCAGAATTGCTTTACTTCTCTGGGGTGCAAAACAGATTCATAATACAACCTTAATGCAGCTTTTGTGATTTCATTTCCTTTCAGATCTCCTGCAACACTGACTGTTTTTTTTTTCTTTTGATACAAATGTTTATGGCTAGTCTTTTTACAAAACGTTAACAATTTATGGCGAGATCCTCTGCGCTCAGGCCAGAACCTAGCGAAGAGGAGAGCGGCTCCCAGCCTTCCTCCCACTCCCCTAACCTTCAGCTCGAGCGCTGGCGTTAGTGCATTGCTTTTGCGTTGCTTAGCGTTTGCTTTGGTACGCTGCACTGCCATTTCTGCCTTCTTGCCTCCAGCCATGCCCTCAGCCCTGGCATGAACGCTTCCCAGGCTCCAGAGACGGGAGCGGGCGGCGTAGAGCAAAGCGGCTGCTTTTGGGTCGCCAGGGACCTCCTCCGCTATCAGGGGAACCCACCCCAGCCTGCTCCGGCCTCCCGCTCATCTTTTTCTATTGCTGAAACAGTTCATAGAAGCATGATCTCATCTGCTTTTCCTTGAAATAACGCTACTTTCTCATGCCCCCGAACTATAACAGGTAACTGCACGTTTAAAGGAAAAGAAGGGTTTCACTTTTATGCTGCTACCAGGACTCTGTAGAGTAGAAGTGTAACATCAAAAGCACTGTTATTAAAGCTAGACAGGAAATGTTTTCCCAATTTCTAAGATTTTTTTCTGAGAGTTCAAATTCTTTCTTGTCCCTCACGGGGACCAACCAAGACTGTCAAAGCTTTCTGTGCAGAGAAACTCCATGCACTTACCAGTGGAGCCAACAAATGTCAGGCATGGGCATGCACATGGCTTGTAACAGAACACACAGTTCAGGCTGGGGCACTGAACTGCTGCTTTTCATGTCCAAGACGGCTTCCCTGAGCACCAAAATATTTTACAGTGTTTTTGCAAATGCCTCCACATCACATCTGGCCCAGGCTGTATCAATAATTAAGTATACACGGCTGCAGTGACTGATGCATGGTTCCCTGCGTTCTAGCTGAATGCCCTGACTGCACAGCTATCGAGTCAGTCTCTCTTGCTTTATTTGGCTTGGTGACTGTTAAATTATTTATACAAAATGAAATGTCTTTAAAAGCCTGACGAAGTCTTTAAAAGACTTAACATGTCTTTAAAAGCTGCTGGTCAGCACCTTCCCTTGGGCTGGGTGCCGCTCAAAGCCCTCCTGCCCCGAGCATTTGCCTTCTTATGCAAAGTGAAACATCTCCAACAGGTGACCATGGGCTCTCTGCAGGAGCTCTGCGTTCCTGCTTAAATCTGAAAAGCTTAATCACTCTGTGCAATGGTAAACGTCCTATATTTATATCAGTTCAGGATGACATTTAAATTCTAAAAAAAAAAAAAAAACTCTGTAAGCTCTCCATGTGCAACTGCCTTCTCCTCTCCATTTTTGGTACCAAGCAGCTGTGCTTTCTACACCCTGTCAGCTCTAACCTTAGTTAAGCATGGGAAAAGTAATTTCAAGTTCCAGCTGTGAGCCAAATAAACCTTAGCAGGGACTTACAACTGGACATCTCACCCCCTAGCTATTAATCTCCATGGAGGCGAGGATTTCTCTTATCTGCAGGTTTGATCAGAACTGCTCTTCTGCCCGCCAGAACACTGGTTTTCAACCTGCGATTAAGCACACTGTAGAAGGTAACCTCGAAAAGCGAGCCTATCACTGCATAGCAATCCATGCCTTTACGAAAAACGTGTAAAGGTCTGTGAACTTAAGTTTCAAAAGATTGTACTAGTTTATACAGATCTTTCAGAACGTAGAGTACACCTCGTCCTTCAATGCTAGCTTGCTTCTTTTAAAGTACACCCACTTTAAATACCTGTGCAGTCACAAAGCTTCTTTTATAACTACAAATGGCCAAAGAAAAAAAAAATCAAAGGACTGGCGTTCCTGTGGAGTTTCAAACATAAACAGTTATCATTTCTGGATTTCCCTATAAGATGCTGAAAGTAGGAGTGCTCTATGGAAATGCTGGCAGGACCTTATCAGTGGGAAATTAACAGTGAAGGCCTACAGCCTGTAATAGGAATGTAGTAGTGCAAATTTTAAGCCAATCTTTCGGATTCTGTATTAGGGACGTAACCTTACTAAGTTGCAATAGAGAGATTTTAAAAATATACTTAGGGATCATTCTCATCAGTTATAGACAGTTCTGAGAATAATTTCTAAAGGCTTCAATTTGATTCTTACCTTTTAAAATTGTTCTGAAACTCCCCATACAGGAATATAGTGTAAGAACTACGCTCAGAGCTGAAAATCATCTTCACACTGTACTATGGTAAATGCTGTTCTGCTTTTAGCTGGTTTCAGAAGATACTTAAATTCTAGCGGGGCTGAGGCTTGTAAGCTCTTGATGTGCAACTGTCTCCTCCCCATCCTGATCACAAAAAGCAGCTGTGGCTTCCGCACGCTGTCAGATGTTACCTTAGCGCTAATTTGGGAAAAGCAGTTCTCACGTTCAGTGCTGAAAGACTGATAACTGAACCCAGCAAGGCATGACACATTTTCAGCGATGAAGGAGAGGGGCTGTGGACAATGGCTGTGCGTTCCCACTGCATAAATCCTCCTGACTCAGCTGTCAGTGTGCAAACCTGCTGCACAAAGGCAGATTTTACTTGCATGATTGGATTTTATTTCATCGTGACTATCATAACGAAAATAGGTGTTGTGTTATTGTTAAGACATGATTAACCTACCAGGTACCAAGGCAGACAGATATGTCTGTAACCCGTGTAATTTAATGTCTCCTGAAGTCCAGGTATCTTGTCTGTTGTTATAATAAATAAATCACTGAAGAATATTTCTGGTTTACAGAGCAACCACAGACTGTAGAACTGAAATGTAACAGACCTAAATCTGCCCTCCCCGTAGTCCAGACGAGTTTTTGACAAAACTGAACTTACTGGGACAAGAGTCAGATGCGTACAGCATATCATATTAAAATATATATACATCTACATCTACATACATATGATTATCCAATACATATATCCTGTGTATGTGTATACATATAATATAATATATAATATATCATATATCTATATCGATATAGTTTATCAAAAGTGCAATAGCACTTTATGACTTCAGTTACGAGTCAGGGATTGATTGTCTTATGGATCACATATGCACTTAATATGATAACCAGAGTGACACTAAATATTCCTAACCGTAGCTAATCAAAAGCTGTGCTGTTAAAAGATAGTCTGCTATTACACTACCAAAATTTACATCAACAGTTTGCACTGAATTGCAAAACCACATAATAAAAACTGGACTTCAGCACAGATGTAAATATTGTGGCTAGAAGTGAAAAATATCTAAGTACAAAATATTTTGTGAATTCAGAAACAGGAGTGCAAGTCTGACAGATGCAAGCAACATGTACAGCAAAAGTCGCTTGCCAACTCTTTAAAAAACTTAAAATATAAATTAACAAAGAGTAACTACAGTTAGCATCACTGGATCACTAAAACCAGATGTCAGCTTTTTCAAATGGTAAATACTCATTTCCATAAATGTTTGTATGCTTTTACAGCTAAAACTCAGCCTAATGCTACTTAAGATGGTGAAATTTTGACTTCCGTAGAACTTGGATACAGTACCCATGTGTTTATAGTGTTTTGGTGAAACTAAAAAATAAACAAGAAACTAAAACCAGGTTTGCACTGAAATTATCCCTCTCCCTCCCACCCCCCCACACACAAACAAGCATCTACTGCAAACAAGAATGCAAGTTACTGTGCCTTGTTAAATGATTGAATATTTTGAAATTCAATAGTCTTGAATGCCTAGAACTCCTTTCATTTTTTTTTCAAACTATTGACAACTCTGGCCTGCTCAAGACGCTCTGGTGGTTTACTTTCCCATGGCAGCCCCCGTCCGATTCCCTTCAAGCCAGGTAAAAATTAAAGCCTACGCAGGGCGCAGTCCCGGCCAGGGCTCCAGCTGCTCTGTGCAGATGTGCGGCTGGTGCCTTCGCAAGCCCAGAGGTGCTGTCCCTCTTGTGCTCTACAGCCAGCTGCTCCTCCGACAGGACTGCTTTAGCCATCCTTTCCACACACATTTTAAATTTAATCACACTCTACAAATCTCAATGTAATTAAAACAAAAACGCTCCTTTATAAATCACTTTTGATTTTTTTTAACTGCTTTAAAACACAATTCTGTTCCAAATGAAAGAAGGGTGTGTATCCCAGATGGTGTAGAAATGAAGCTGTGCACTAATCTTTAATGGCCACACAAACATAACTGGATAAATTTACATTTTGCCTACCATTTAGCCACCGGGAGTCATGCTGCTCTGTTCTGATTGGATGGTGATGCCCCAAAGTTCGGAAAATGGCAAAGTCTCTGCCCATGAAGTCTGCTGCTGTCCCAGAGTACAGTTCACCATCTGTGGGATGATATAATTGTAAGCAATATTTCTCAATTTTGAAGCCATGATAAGTCAGAGATAGATATTAATAGGCATAATGTGAAAATTGCAAAAGCAATAAATCACATACAGCGTACTGTCACTGAAAATACATGATTAGGGCACCCCCTGTTTCACTGCAGAGCTTAACTGTGACCTCTTCCAACTGAGTTGTATATCCCGGCTGCTAATGCAGCCTTTTAAGAAAATATGTTCGGATTCCATTAGTCTGGAATGATGATGGCTTGTACAGCGATCCCTGGTATACGGTGGTATGAGGCCCTGAAAAACTCACCTAGCTTTGAAGTTACCCTGTTTTGAACAGAAGATTAGACTGGAGACCTCAAGAGGTTCCTCCCCAAATACTGATTTTCTGTGATTCTGTGATGGGAAGAGGAAAGTCCAGCTCATTCATTCTCAGTTTAGAAAGTCACTGAGTCCCTCAAACCGTTCTCATATAAACTATTTTGTATTGTTTTGTTTTGTTTTGTTGTTTTTTTGCTGAGAATATAAACCCTGTGAAAACGGTATCTTCCACAGGGAAGACAGAACATGCCTTTTTCTTTCTGTCACCTTTGTAACTGCAAGACTGTCAAAGTGAAACAGGGAGTGAACAAATGAGATCGTCCCCTGCCACCTCAACCCCACACACATCGCATTGAACAAGTGAATTAAAAATTGACCTATGATACTTCCGCCCATAAATGGCACATACATAGCCTAGCTGGAGATGAGACTTATAATATTAGAGCCCTTGTGTGCCCCTCCTGAACCAGCTAGAAGGATCACAGAGGAGAGATAGATGTAATCTAAATTCAAAGGACCGGGTCAAGTTAAATGCAGGCCAACTGGTAAGGGAATAGTAATAATGACTACATAGTAATCACAACCACAGGAAACATGCAGGGATCAAAGTAAAGCACATATTTTGGAGGGTTACTGCAGAGCTTGCTCAAGAAATTAATCTAAATTCAAAGTGCTAAAAATGCATTTTTAGGACTGTGCCTTTTCATGCCTGTATCTGAGATGAGATACCTTACGCTGTCCCTTTAATAGGGAATTAAAAAGCATTATCCTTCCAACTGCTGTTTTTGAGTTACCCATCTTAAAAGAGTCTCCTGTGAAAAAGATAAGTTTGAGGATGAAATAACTGTTTCTTTAGGCTAAGGTAATAAAATTTTCATGGTCATCATGAACTCTACCATATCCTTCCTGTAAAACACCCTTTAGAAACAAGTTTACGATTTTCATGGCAATTTTAGGTATTTCCATGGTGGGACAACCACGTCCCAGTAAGCCTATTGAATATCACCGGGATCTTTTCCCCAGAACACTGACAGCATGAAATTATCAATTGAACCTACAGTAGCTCTGTACCATATGGTAGTCATGAAAGTCAGGAAGGGTGAAAACATGATAGCAGAAAGGCGTGGAATTGAATGAATTCACAGCAGAGATTAGAAGCAAATAGACCAGCCATGCCCAGCAGGAGATGTAATCAGAAGTGAAACAGAACAGCATATCATTAATTAACGATTTATCATTCCTGTATGTCACTTTCAACTTTTTTAGAGAGGAAACAATCACTTAATTAGAGTGATTATTATGTATAGTGTACGCAGCTGAGATTTTAAAGAATATAAAACCTTTTTGCTTGTGAAAATGGCTTTGATGCTCTGCTTAACCTTTCTTTAACCTTATCCTCATTTTCTTGTCTTCCGCTCCCCAGTGAGTTAGGATAAGTCAATACAAATCAAAGGTGTGGTGGTGGGGAACAAACAAGCCCTATTTTACTTCTTAGCTATCAACAGATGGAAAGGTCAATTAAAAAAAAAAAAGATTCTGTATTTAATACTACATTATTAAAATTACAAAAATAGCTCAATAATTCATTTAAATTACATATTTCTAATATTTTGAATTTTAGGGGGTTAGGCACTTCAACTTCTAACTCAATATACAGACAGCCTTGAAATTAATGTATCTTCTGGGTTTGACTCAGTTCATCCCAAAACTATTTCATGCTGCTGTGCTCTTGTTCTGGCTCGTACTTTTTTTGTCAGTGGTGATAGATAGCGTAAGAGTTTTATCAATAATGGGTTTCTGTGTGTTCCAAAGGAAGAAAGAGCTGTAGAAAACCAGCTGACCTTTCTTTGTTTTCTACTACAGCTCCTCTAAGTTTCAATATACTTAGACCATTGCCTACAGTTTGAATTGATTCTCTTTGATTCCCAGCAGGCATTGACTCAAAGCCCATTGAAGTCAGTGGATTTCAGATACAATCTTTAATTCAGGAAAATATATGATAAATAGCCTCCTGTGCAAAGGCTGCAGAACAGTCCTTTGGTGTTTTAAATGTATTGTCATTGCTATAGCCTTATCCTTTCTCATTCTCAGCAGGATCAGATGCGTGGTCTTACAGTAATGCAAAAAAGGGATTTGGTCTTAGATAGAAATACCACGAGTTACCATTTCTTTTTGTAAGATTTTTGCCAGATTAAGGGTCAGCTTCAAGTCGTATCCCAAACTGCACATCCCTTGATGCAGGGACTATTCAAAAGTTATATCAGAATTTTGCCTCCTCTCTAGTTAGAAGTAAATTATTTTTTGTTTCCCTATGAAGACCTTCTTTTCGACAGTCACTCGTCTAGAGAGTGCTTCTTTTGTGCTATTGTGCTATTTCTATTGGTAGCAGTATTAAAACCAGTTTTCATTAGTTTTAAGAATGAAGTGGAAGCTAAGAATTCAAAAACTGACAAACATTTCTTAAGCAGAAAGAATAAATAAAAAGAAATAAGTTGTCATTTTGTATTTCCAGTCCAACAGCATAAAGCAAGGACTATGGCTTTCTGTTCAGAACATGCTGATGGGCCTCCACTGTTTTCATGGGAAAAAGGTCTATATTTTGGACACAAGCCACTTAAAGATACAGCATGCTGACACATGTGTGCAAACAGAAATATACATATTGACTTTACTAAATAAAGAGGTGACAATTAAAGCCTGTAAATACTGCTGGTTTAGAAAGGAACCATTTATTCCCACATACTGAATGGGAGCAGCATGGAAATATAAGACCATTCCCTCAGCATCTCCCAGTTTCATTAGATAGCAAGATGTTAAAAAAGAACTGCATACACTTATTTTCTCTTTTTTTCTATTCAGCTCTTAAACAAATCAGCATTATTTAAATTATATATATCTATTTGGTGGATATAGAAGAGTCAGCTTCCTTTTTGAAACAAATAAGAAAGTTCAACAGATGAAGAATATAGGCAAAAGGAAGCCTTGAATTTCCTGATTGTTGCCCCTGGTTAAAGAGCTCCCAAACAATACCTGATACACTGGGGTAGTAAGTTTAATCATATCACTGAAGTTAAGATTTTTTGAAAAAAATTCACGGAGGTCTGACTTCACTCCCATTCAAATCCAGAGCCAAAACTTCCCAGAAGCTAGAATAAACCTTAAAATCATGAGCTTTACATGTACTCAGTAGCTAATTTGGAGGAGAGTAAATAAGAAGAGTAATGTTCTTCCTTGGAAAGAAGCCATCATTCTTCAGATCACATTCAGGTTAATCCCTGTTTGGGAATATTAAGGCACCTAAACGGATGAAAAAAAAATATTTAAAAATCTATATAAAAAAAAATCAGCTGGACACAGGAACATAAATAGCTTTGAGGACACTGGATTATCAGAGCTTTCGAAAATCTCGAGGTGGGATTTCCTAAAGAGCATCTGACTGATAATAGAACAAGGGTCTTGTTCTCTGAGGTTTTTTCCAACTATACCAGTAAAATTGCATTAGACTAATACATTTCAGTGATAATTTTCTCTAATGACTACTTTATTTGAAAACCCTTCTGCCTCTCATTTTCCTGCTGCCCTGAAATACATGCTAGCAGTACCCAGGGACTAGGGACTCTACAGTTTCATGCCTCAGCCCACTCAGATGGAGGCTGTTTAGTTAGCAGCAAATAGATTGGGAATGGATGAATAATGTCTTATATTATTAGGAACTGGTTATATCATGTTCCCAGCTGGCGTTTACTTAAGAGTAGAGTAGCAATAACTACCTTTAATGAACAACTCTTAAAAAAATAATGAAAAATGTTTGCAGGTGGATGGAACAAGGAATGTATACTGGAAAAATATTGGAACAATTTAATAATGATGAACTGTTTGTTTTAGTTTTTTTAAAATATTATTGAATTTTATTAGGAGAGAGGGAAAACTGAAGATCCTTTTTACACTTACAAGAGTTTCTTCCAGCTGAAATATAAAATAAGAACCCTGAGTACTAATGGTTATTAAAAATCTGAAGTTACTTTTTGCAGATTTTTAGCCTTGGTGCTTTGCCTGAATTCCAGCTGGGGTAATTCCATTTCACTTACCTAAGATTTACCTTCTAGCTACTGAGTCAAGAACATACTCTTTTCCACTTTGCAAAATCTCTGTTTAGTATTTCTGACAAAGAATTGAGGTTATTTTCCGCTCCTGTATTTAACCATACAAATTAATCTTACTTCTCAGCCTTCTCTTATCTTCTTTATAGGTACATTGTGTTACAACTATAATGTCACATTTGAATGAGTGCTAGATAATTATTTTACACCCTCACCCTCTTGAACCTGGGATGGACCCTGGTTACTTGTGAGTACAAATATTTCTGGCACCTGAGGGACCAAGTGCATCAGAGCTATCATTCAGCTCTAAAGAAGTGAAGAAATGGTTCGGCTTTCCCCTTTTTAAAGTACCCTACTTGTGTGAGGCATTTGTGGTCAAGAGGTTCATCTTCCAGCCGTCATGGCCCTTTCACTGTTTCCCCTCAGTGCCACCTACTTCAGGGACCAACTGGACCAAACCTTTCCACGCAGTTATGGCTCGGCCAGTTCATTCTTCCCTTTTCTCCACTTTCCCAGGTGGAGTCCACCTACTCTGGGGAGAGGAAATTATTTTACTTTGGGTCAACGTAGTCTCATTCAATTTGTGCTTTCAGCAAAGAGAATCAGCCATTGTGGACCAGTCGTGAATTTGTTGTGCACTTAATTCCAAGGGAATCTCTGTGGCAAAGGATTTAAATCAATACAGCACTATAATCAATAACATAGTATGGCTGAACTGTAGCTATGAGAAAGTTGAGAAGAAAGGGTGTTCATTTCTGAGGATGTTAATTTTAGCTTCATCCTGGGTTTCAGATAAGTGCCTGAAATTAAAAGTTAGTCACTGGCTTTGTATGTTCAATTTTTGCCATTTTCTATAGTGCGAATAAACTCATAGCTTTAACAGAATCCTGATTCAAAACAAAATGTGATGCTTTGTCTACTTTTTATTAGGAGGAAAAACACATGGAGCAAAAATGATAGTGATAGGGAGTGGGCTCATGAAAGTAAAGATGTTTTAAAGACGTGAAATCCAAGCCAAAGGAAATAAGATAATCATATTTGTGCAGGACTGAGTTAAAAAAAAAAAAAAAGGAATGTGAAAAGCTAGACGCTGTTGACTTTATGCAGTTACATACCGGGTATACCACGTAATACTGGCTTGTCATCATTCTCTTTCTTTATTGTATATTAAAGTAAATAGTCAAGTCATTCCCTTGAGAGCAGCTCTGCCACAAAATCAAGTTGCTCCAGGCACTAATTTATACATTGGCCTTTTACATACACATTTCTTTCCTTTGCTGTTTGTACAGGGTGCAAGTTGGAGCACGATGAGGACGTCTTTCTTGTTTTTCTCTTTAAAAAGTGCATTTCCTCAGGGTAGCTCATCACCTGTGATCATTAGGGGCTTCGAAGAGCAGGAAATGAGGCATGCTCAAGACTAAATTTTTGTTGCTGCCTCTTCTGAATAGCTTCATCTTTAAATACAATGTAAATATAATATGGAGAGTTACTAAGCATGGCCCTAAATGAAGAATATGTGCAAAGTCCTGGAGAAAACAATGTATCTGGTTATGTGTCATTTCCCAGAGAGTTATAGGACAAGAGAATCTGCGAACTTCTGAGACTATTGGATCACCCTGCAGTTGTAATTAACTGCCAAAAAAGTTACAAACTGAGGATAGAGTGGCTACACCAGGACAGTGTTGCTATGCAGGTGGAAAGAAGACTCTAATTTCTTTCACTCTTAATCTCTTTTCATAAAACATCTTTTTACTTTTTTTTTTTTTTGGTAAAGGAGAAGGAAGACCAATGAACACAATCAATTCAATTAAATTGGTTAAATCAATTTGATCAATTCAATCAATCACATTAGTTAAATTAGATTAACACAATCCAGGTGCTCTATATATCCGTCTTCCATTAAATTAACTCTTACTGATTCAAAAATACTTAATTTATTAAGTATTTATTGAACTCTCTCAATCTGGACAGGAGCTTAATTTTGCTTAGTTTAACTCACTGTAAGATAGAACTCTTCAGTTGAAACATCATGGTCTTAGAGTTTGGACTTGTAAACATCTGCATATCACCAACTCACATGGGGGTATAACTCAGTGAAATACTTTCCCTGGTAGCAAAACTGATATAAGAAATTGCTTATTCCTGCTCTTACTTTGTTCTCAGCTGGGCTGGTGCAAGTGTTAGTGAGGCCAAACTGTAAACTGGGTGTTTAAAATGCCTCCAGAATCACCTAGGTCTGAGAAGAAACACTTTGCAAAATCAAGCTCTTACAAAGGGATAAAGCAGCTACTGTGATATTTGAATCCTGATTCCTTATTTCTCAAGACATCTGGGTCAACCATATTAAAAATGAAAGCCGAATAACTGTAACCTGGAAAGAAAATACACACACAACAAAACCCTATCACAGATGCAGTAAGAAGGAGAAAGGCAAAAAAATGGCAATTATCTGCAGTGAATGCATATCTCACTAAATTTGTTTTGTGGCACCTACCTACTAAAAGAGAAGCTGTCAGCAATTTAGGATCATAAGGGCTTTTCCCTCGGCCATTTTCAAAATGTGCATCTTCCATTTTAAAAATGTTGTCCTGTGGATGGAAAAAGAAAGAAACAACATTATTTTTTGAAAGGATGCTAAAAACAAGTCAAATTCAACAGAAACAAGTCCAATTCAATAGAGTGCAGTATATACAATTCATACCGGTACTGTGGCTTCACGCATGTCAGCTCACACAAAGTAAGGATCTGGCAAAAGTACCCACCTTCTAAGTGACATTGTGCTGAAGGCTAGTCAAAAGCACAAATGTACATTCACCCGTCTTGTCTCATCTATTCTACTTCACATATAATTTCCATGGTTTCACTGAATTGTATCATCTCCTTCAGTAAGAACATTGTGTGAGTAGTATCTACTGAAGATGTTAGTATTTGAAACTTTTATCTGAAAAAGATGAAGCCTATTTTTAATGGACTACACTTTTCCAAAACATCCCTGAAGTATAGATTAGTGAAAAGTGCAGTGCTGAATTCTGCTTTTCCTAACTTGGGATTATAGTGGCCTACTGTTCCCTGTGTTCTCAAATTCAATTTTAACTGCATCATCAGAGCTTTTTTTTATTTTTCATTACTGTGCAATGCAATTTTTAGAATATACAAGCTGGGGGCAAAGTAAATGGGGGATAAAACAAGATTAAAAAAACATCTCAGTCAACACTAACTCAAACCGGGGTCAGTAAATCCAAAGCAATGGGATTTTCAGTACATTTAATTATTTTATTTTTAAGTGGGGGATCAAATCTGCCAATCAAATTGAACACCATGTTCATCTTACGTTTTGCACTGAGGGTAAAACCAGAAGTATAGTGACGTTTTGCATAGTAGACACTACATTGAGAGGAGACTTGTGGAGGCCAGAGTAAAAGCTGAAATGTCCATTTCCCATCTGCACTGTGGATGGCTTGCATTGAATGATTTGCATTGACACTTAACTTAATCAAGAAGCCCCAAAGCTGGGACCTGGCCATGCAGGTATTCTGGTTACTTAGCTCTTAGCACCCAGCTTTCAAGCTGCTTCTCCCTAAAATTCCTCTATAAGGTAGACGTTGGAGGATCTCCTCTAACCAATATTTGCAAGACCAAAGGGCTTCGGCTGCAGTAGCAACTACAGCTTGCTGCAACCTCTTTTTTCCCACTATCTGATCAGGGATCAATAACGCTTTTTAGTCAGATAGACAAAAAGAAGCAGAGCAGGACCTATGTTTAACACAATATTAGCAGTAGGAAGCAACCAAGAAGTTGGTACAATTTTTTTGTTTAGCTATTTCATAATAGATCAGCTCCTGATTTTCAAGTCGCTACAGTACTCACTGCTTCCATTGACTATCTCAAGCCCCTCTCCTCATTCTCATTATCTCTTTCCAGTCACAGAATCGTAAAGGTGTGGGATGGAAGGGTTCTCTATATGTCATTAACTCCAACCTCCCACTTCAAGGAAGTCTGTTGCCAACATGTGATATGGTCAGCTTTGGTATTTAGCCAAGTCAGGAAAGCCTTCAGGGATGGAGCATCTACAACCTTTCCAGGTAACCACCACTATCCTCCTAATGAAAACATTTTTTTTCCAACCTGCACCTTCCAAGGTGCAACTTGTGGCTGTTGTTCCTTATGATATCATCTGCCGCTACTGCGAAGTGTGGCTCTGCCTTCTTTGCAACTACCTTTCAAGTTGTTGTAGGCTGTTCTTTAATTGCCCATTACCCTTCTCTTCTCCAGATTAAATCTCAGACTAGAACTTCACGAAAACTTAACTAGCGCGTAAACTCCAGAAAATGACTTACATTGTCCCAAAATTGTGCACAATGCTTTCATCCCCAAGAGCACTCTTCCAGCACTCAGTGCTGGAGTCTTGGCACTCCACAGGGATGTGGGGATCCAAAAATATCAACAGCTCAAATCGTGTTCAGCAATAGCTTCAGTAATGTGTTTTTAATGTGAAGATCAGTCAGGCAAATAGCTGGCATCTTCCTCAGAAGTAGTGAATTAAAGTATTTGGAAGTAGCACTCTCTCTGGCACCCTGCCTTCCATCATCTTGCTAATTCATACTGAATCCAGGTATGGGCCAGGCCAGTGACCAAGCATACTTCCAAATGGTATTATTTTAAATCTATTGAGGCCATGTTTCTGTAAGAGGGCCAGCTACAGATTATGATTTTTATTAAAGGCTTCTTTAATTATAGCATGCAAATATATGTGTGTGGGTGTGGGTGTGTGTAACATATTTTTAAAAGAACACCAAAAGGACTTTACAGCAATTTACTGCAGACAAAGGTAAAGGCAAAACGGACTGTTAGCATTACAGTTTGTCTAGAAGTGCTTACTGCACTATAAGATAAAAAAGCTTAGGCACAACTTTGTGACATTTGATCCCAAAATTCAAGCTCAATCTCCTAAGGAATGTTCTTGTAGATGCACCCTATCTGATTACATTTATGTAGTCATTCTATGTCTGTATTATCTGTCATAATATTAAATTTCTTTCCTTTCCTTTGTCCTTATTTTTATTTTTTAAAAGTCCAGACACAATTTTCTGACTTTGCTCCTTCTAATCATAAATGAATAAATAATGAAAAAGAAAACTGTTTTTGAATTTCTGCTGTAGGGTCCATATCTACTTATTGCATGATAAATAAAAGTAGTAAGTTGAGGAGAGTGCTAGATCTCAACTGCAATAATAGAAAAAGGCACTAATGCTACAAGGCATTATTGAAAAATGTTATTATCAATCTACATTTTCTTGAGATTTCTTCCTAGTGGATGATAATTGCTCAACCCGCACACCAATGGATATTTGATAAGGCTATAAAGTCAATAGCATGACAGTTAAAGCAGAATATATTCCCAAGATAATCCCATGTGTCATTATAGAACAAATACGAAACAGATGTGGAAAATGATCTGATGTAGGAAGGATCTGATTTTTGACTATTCTTCTGGTTTATGTCACTGCAACTCCACTGATACTGGTGTGTAACAGGCAAAACAAAGTGGAGAATCAGGTCAGCCTAAGACAGAGATGACCTACCCTTTTCTTAGGGTTTGTGGAATAAACCATTTGAAATAACAGGCATGACAGGGAAATCCCATAGTGTTTTCATATTTCAGTTAAAATGCTATGCAGAGACACATGCAATAGGTTTCCAGATGCATCAGCGAGTAATAATGACAATAAATATATCACTGTTGGGTGCCAAATAAATGTATCATGGTTAGTTTGAAGCCTCAGGGAATTTTAATAAACATGCTATAAGAAGCTTAACTTATTACAAACAGGGCAACTTGCCCAAATACCTCTTTGGGTGCAGAAGTCAAACCATCTCTGTCTATTGACAATAGAGGCAACAAAGCCCCCCCCCCCCCATTAAAAAAAAAAACCCAAAAACTAGGAAGCAATGAAAGAGCATGACTAATGATAGGTACTTGATCGTTCTAGTCACTAGTCTGTGGCATACACATCTAAATCCTGCCCTGAAGTGCCTTGTTAGTGGGAGAAGAGATAAGAAGTCAATGTGTGTAGTTGAGGGCAAAACCTCGTCTCTGCATTCTCTGTGAAACACGTATTTGATCTTTTTTTCCCAAGAGTTATACTCTGATACGCAGGCTGTGCGCCCAACATTGTACGTTGTCCTGTCCACCTAAATTCCACCCGAGAAGCTCTGTGCAGGCAGCAGGGAGTGCAAGGACGGAAAAATGACCCAGAGGGCCAAAGTCAGTCAGCCTGCAGCTAGCAAAGCCCGAAGTCTGCTCAAAGGCTTAGGTGGACTTTAGGCTGTGCGACCGTGGCCTTTACTTGCACAAAAAAAGGCAAGAGCTTTTAGCTGGAGAGCATGTGCGTCATTTGCACTCAGAAAAGTTTCCGAACAATTTAAAATTTTGCTGTCTCTTGGGCTTTAATTGAATGCAGAGTCATATCACTGTGAGTCAGCAGATCCTTTAGCCATAAACAGCAAGAAAAAGAGTGTACTCACAAACTGTTCACTGTTTCAAAGTCATGTGAGGGCTATTATATAACCAGAGACAGGAATTCATGACAAAGCAAGCTTACCCTTCTGACTGTGTAGGAGACTCTCTAGACACGCAAGAGGAGAGGAGAGGAGACGGACGAGAGGAGACGGACGAGAGGAGAGGAGAGGAGAGGAGAGGAGAGGAGAGGAGAGGAGAGATGTTCAAAGAAAGATCACTGTAACTCACTATTAAGTCCAATTTATTCTACATGAGCACCTCTTTAGTTGCTCTGGTAACACAACGGACATTACAGTGTTCTTCAAGCCTCTTTGGGGATCCTAGCAGATAAAAAGCTAGCTCTGGTGTATTTTAGTTAGTCGCTATGGGAGTTATAAAACTCTAGGTTTCATGTTTAACTGATGCTTCTACATAATGCATATTAACACTACCGAAAATGAAAGAAGCATTCAGGTCTTGAATTAAGGTATGAGGGACAGATGTTGCCCATATGATGATGCATTGAAATTCCACAAATTCATAAGGACAATAACTGACAGCAAGGTGAAGTTACAATCCTACAACAGCTTGGCTCATGTTATAGTAGGAATCATTGTTCCACCTTGGAAACTTTGCATTGTGAGTTAGTATGTCATGTGCCTTCTGTCCCGCTTCTCAGTCCTATGAACAAGGATTTTCCTGTAGCACATACTGCGACAGATGGCAAGGATAAGCCAGAAAGAACTATAGTTCAGTCCCGGAACAAACATACCATCCTACTTTTTTTCCCCAATGATCTGCCATTTTAAGGCTAGAGATTCACTTTCAAACTGCTAAAACGTGCCTGAAACGATGTCCCACTTCCTGGAATTGACTGCTAGCAAGACACTGCTACTTGAGAAGTCTTATTTCATATCTTGCTAGTGAATAGCTTCAGCCAGCCAGTGTGACATCAGTGTGATATGTGTATATATATATAAACACCCACTAAATAACCATATATATAAAAATACACAAACATGCACACACACACACACACACACACACACACACACATATTTATACACATTCAGGATGATAGCTTTTGTA